CCGCAAATGCTTCATCTGTAAATTAATGTGCCATGCAGTGGATTTGGTACCATCAAGTTCAATATTCGGAAGGGTTTTACCCTTTCAAAGAAAAAAACATGCAAGCACACTCACGAATTATCCTCGCATACTTACCTTTCAATAGTTCAAACATGTTTTATGCATTTTTCTTAAAGAACTGTATATTTTCTGTTTACGCTATAATTCTTTGCGTTTGCGCCGTGCATTTCAGGAACATTGTTCTCTTATCGAATGTCTCGTTTAGACGTGAGTTGTACGACGAAGATGGATGAGCTGTACGACATTTTGAAGATAAACCTAATCTTTGGTTACCTTGTCCTCGTTCTGCTTCCTGTTGCTGTCGCTCTGACGCCCCACAAGTTTCCCAGCGTACATGAACTGAAAGTATACCGCATGCATCACTACGACTTGCACGGCAGCAGATATGGTACGTACATCGAAACCCTTGCGAGTAGGCGATATGCTAAGGAAACTACAAGTTTAGGTAGTCGACGATGGAGGTTCAGTCTCGAGGCGGCATCAGTGCGAGCACGCGACCTCACACGAAAATGTCTAGTCGTGTGGTGGAATGACTTTAAGCCAGATATGCTTGAGTCGGAAGTAAAGAAGTCTTTGGGAGCCGTGATACTTCTCATTCCGCGGAATCTAAGTGCCATCGCTGGCGAAGATAAAGCAGTGAGTATTTCCTTGAGATATTGTGTGAAATAGAATGTCGCTGGCATGTTAGTGTACCGCTTAACTGAAATAAAATTTATTATCGATAAATAAAAGATCCGCAGAATCACTTGTAAAGACCCAAAGGGTTTCGACTGATCTTCCAGTCTCTATCTGTCATCAAAATTCAGTCGTGCATATATGTAAGAGGTCGAAAGTCGAACCAACCAATGGGTCGTATGTCAAGATCAGGTGTTTTCGAATACAGCTAAGACTGTCGTAAATGTTGAAAAGGTCGGCTAACTAGGTACTTGCCGACAAAGGCGGTTGCACTTTTTAAGATAAAACTGTGTTGAAGAAGCACATTAGCTATCAAAGCAGAGTGAATGATTTAAGAACCATCTGCCATTATGAAGTCCTGTGAAGCCAGTAAATTTTTTCATCTCACGTTGGAAAGGAAGCAAAAGTTTGTGACCGTTGGAATGTTGGTCTTTACACTTTCATTATGGGGTTGTTTCTGGCACTCTTCGTATCATGACCTTAATGGTAAGGTGCTGATTTTTATTTCCATGTCGTCACTCAAGAATTCCTTCTTTAAAGGCAGTGTTGACAGCATCTACGTGACAAACATAGTGTGTAACCAGCAGTTTCCGTCCCACAGAGTGTTACTCATTTATTAATCTCAGAAGGAAGAAAATCGAGTGACCCCGACAGAGCTCAAATCCGGTACATCCCAGTTAGGAGTCCGACACTTGACTGACTGAGCAACTCCGATTTGAAGCAACGTATAGTAAATATCTTGTCCAGGGGAATTCGTGGTTGAGAGAAAGATTGCCCTCCGCTGGAATCGAATGAGGCTCCTCCAGAGTTCAGAACCAACCTCTTAGGAACTGGTCACCACGCTTCTGACATAACGTGCTCTCAGAAGAGAAGACACCACTGAATGGAATGGAACTGAAAAAGATACTTAAACTGAAAACATCAGATGCACAGCTTGAGGATCTCAGTTTTTCATAATCCACAGGAAAGCACAGAATTATTTTTTCGGCTTGTCATTCCTCTGATAAGGTTGCTTATCACTCACTCGTTAGGCGGCCGGTTCAGCGTTCGTGATATCTTTGGTGGTTAGACGCCCTGTGCGATTGTTGCGCCGATGATAGGATATGACAAAGGATACATTTAGCGTTTAAGGAATTTAGCTGGTCTAAATGTTTTGATCGAAAAGCTTAGTGGTAATATCCCCTGATCCTGTTTCTGGAAATCATGCATAAGGAACTTATGCCCAAAACGTTTCGTTTTCATCTTCCATCGTTAGTTTTAGGCGTTCATGTTCATGGAGGAAAGAATGTCCGGAAAAGAGATCGATTTGCCTGTTTACTTCGCGTTTGCGACTCCGGAAGTTCAACACATTCTTGATAGTGTCCAGCGACAGAATCAAGCCGAAGAAGGCAGTGTTCTGAAGGGTAACAGTGCTGTTTATTTAACAAGCTTGCTAGCTTTCGCTACTTTGTTTAAGCAGGTGAATTTCAGTTTTATTGGTGTCACTGTTGTTTATAAGTTTTATAAGCAACCAGAACCTAAATGTATAACTATTCAGTGTGTCATGGGCGTCAGCTGTTTGGACGCCTTTCCACTTTCAGAACGTTAGCTTTTAAAGGGCGAAGAAGTTTTGCACATTCAAATCATGTTAGTGTTACTGAAGCTGCGTGCGCGTTAGCTGAAGTCGAAAGCTTAAAGCCGGAATGGCAGGAGCAACGGTAACACTATCAGAACTGGAACGTGTGTTTGGGCGGGTGAGGTGAAAAGTATTCTGACATTATAAGCAGAGGTACAGGTTTAAATCCACCTGTGTTAGAAAATTTCCTTATGGTATTTTAATTCGTTGAGCTGGGAATATATTTCGCTGTACTTCAATGCAACCAGCCAGGGAACGAGCAGCAGATCAATGAATAGCGATGGTTGGAGAGCATGGTGTATACTTTGGTCCCACCAGAGCTCACATGGCTTCGTACTGTCTTGTGTGCGCTTTCAACGACCGCAACTACTGATGTAATCAGCATATCGTGTAGCTCATAACATATATTAATAAGGAAACAGAGTGCAGGTGATGATCTGTTAACATCCTAAAGAAGAATCACACAGTATGTTGGCCACGGTGATTAGCTGTCATGCAATTGTTCGTGTTGATTAATTGGAAGTCTTGAAGGACTTATTAGGTTTATAGTAATACAGTTGTGGGACTTTGTCAAGCTTATGCTGTATTCGCGGGTTAACAAACTCTGATTTGATCTGACAGATCTTGATGTCGACCGATAATGGGAAAGGGTTAGGTACAGCAAATGCTTAATGTTATTCAGCAGTTTGCAAATCGAGGTATAAGAACGCACGAATCTCCCTTATATATTATGGACAATGTGACTTGACATAGTAGACGAATAGGCATTTCATGTCATTCCTGATTTCAGGTCTACATTGTCACTTATGATAACTTGCAGTTTGTATCAAATGGTTTTGAGCTCATTTTCGGTAGCTTGAGGAAAGCTTTGCATTACTGAACGTTCTGTAACTTTTTCAAGAATGTAATCATGTCCTGCGTCATTCTTCTTATTTATTATCTTTTCAATGCCTATCAGAAGATGGAATATTTTGTTCATGATGCATCTGTAGAAGTATCGAAATGCAGTACAAGAACGTGTTATTTATACACAATTCAGTGAAGTCCATCTGTCGGGTGATGAACCACTGCCCACTTTTCGGTGCGTCTTTCATGGGCCTTTAAGACCCATTTGGTAATTGTTTACCTTCTACACGCGGTTGTCTGCAGCAGTTGATTGGTGTAGAAAGAAAACTGTCTTAATCGCTGCCGCTGCTTCCGGCGCCAGTCACGATGATGCTCATCTAACGAACTGAAAAGGTTAAGTTAACTGAAAGGCTCAGCATGATGAGTCGTGATGTTGCTAGTATTTATATTGATGTTAGTATTAAAATTATCAGTGAGTTTTTGAAAGACAGAAAACGTACTGTCCCGTGTGGATGGAGCTATAAGACTGTCATAATGAATTTTTTATAAAAGAAATACAACTAACTATCATATTAACCATACTGACTGTGTTAATGATGTAGCAAACCGTAGGATAATGAACTTGATTAAACTGTAATAAAATTAAATTGATGATTAAACTGTAACAACTAACCATGCCAACAATAAGTTCAGAAGTAG